CTCGAGCCTTTGCCCCAAAATAGGGCTCGGCCCAAGCCTTGGTTCGGTCCCACCGAGCCACAAATCGGCCTGACTCGAGCATTTTTCGGGCTGAACCACGGACCATCCGACCCGATGAGTTATATTGATATCCCTACTCTCATCCTATTATTCCTAACACTGAATATTGATTGCAATTGATTTGTATTAAATACTCAGGACTGTATCATGGCTCTATCTATTAAATAAAAAAAAGGAGACATCTGCATTTTTACGAAGCAAGAGAAATGAATAGACGTGGCGAAGAGAGAGGGGCTGACTTCTGCATTTTTACAAAGCAAGAGAAATAAATGGACGTGGCGAAGAGAGGGGGGCTACGAGCCCTTATACACGTTTCTGCCTTCGTATATCCAAATTCCATAATTAGTTTCTAATTTCTTGCCTTTACTCCACTTATCCCATGCCAAATAAAATATGGAATTAAGTGACTCATTTAATTGTGCTTATCATTTAATATAACATTAGTACCACTTAAATTGGTGTTTTAACATTAGTGGTGTTAAATAGTATTATTGAATTATGAATCATTTTAAAAGATGACTTCAAATTATTGTCTCCATTTGACTTTTACTAAAATTTTGACGCCTCAAAACTGTGGTGAAATATCAAAATTTTTAGCGGTAGGACCGTCAAGAGGGCAACTAAGAAAAGATTTGAGTGAGACATTGCTATTTTCACACATGAGCTGACTGTTTACTCAAATCGTGATATATCAAATTCCAAACTATTCAAATCACGACACTTTGATCCTGAGTAGTCAAGAGACAAAAAGAGAGTGTGTTGTCATAACCATTCACGTTCCTAAAATCATGAATTGAATGATTGAGATTTTGATATATCATAATTTGAGAAATCATGTTTGGTGTATATCATGGTCTATATCTTTGTTTACATCATACCATATGTCATTTGATAGTTAAAATTTTTTTTTTCATCAACTTATTTTTTGACAACACATCAAGTTTTACGTAAGTGCACACAATTGATATACGAATGGCATAACCCTAATTTGAGTGCAAGGTCCTCCCATCACGTGTGTATATAAAATTATCCCACTGAAGTATTTCTTCAAATTAAAATCGTACGATCTACACCAAACACATATTTAATGTGTAAAATAAATTTTTTTTCCTAAAAGTGAAATGTATATAAGATCGCCCCACCATATTATTTCTCTAATTCAAGATAACGTATCTAGATTTTGAATCCATATTTTTAAGAGTAAAATTATTCATCATCACTGGTGTTAAGTATCAGTTTATGTGACAATTATATAGTACTAAATGATAAATTTATGACTCATTTAATTGAATATGTAAAATGAAGACACTTGTGTTATGTAGCATTATTTAATTTTTAATGTGAATTTATTGAGATCTATTTTCTAAAGCAAAATTTAATAATTCTACCATCTTAAAAGAAATACTCGTATTCTATTCACGATATATTTATCACCATTCTTTTTTGGGACCTTTATTGCTCTTTTCCAAAGGCCCCCTTTTCTTGCCATTTTCCTCTGCATATATATTCCAGCGCTCTCTTCAGCCGTTGAATCCCTTTTCTCCACCACTGTACTTCCTCTCCCTCCCCCTCCCTCCCTCCCTCTCTCTCACACACAACACACAGTGAATCCCGTGTTTTTCTCTTTCTGCACTTGATATACGAGTCGAACAAAAATACTCACTAGATTATACGAAAGAACAATTTTTTGTGGCCATATGGACTCAAGAACATTAGCCATGAGAGCTGTGTCTTCTTCTTTGTTTTACAATTCTCCGAAACCTAAATTCAACCATTTATCTAATCCGGTGAGGAACCCTGTTATCAGATGCATTTATACACGAAACCCATGTTTTAATTCTTGTTTTTCAGTGAAACCAACCTCTATAACGCCCTTTTCTTGCTCTGCCGTTACATCGCATCACCCGGGTAGTGATAATCTAGCCACTGCAGAGGCTGCCACAGGCACCGGAACCGCCACCGAGGCAAGGCTGCATCTTCTCATCCAAGAATTCGAGTCACTGCTCGAACCTGTAGATCGTGTCAAAAGGTTATTACAGTATGGAAATCTTTTACCTCCTTTCGAACAATCATTAAAATTCACTGAAAATCGTGTGCCAGGGTGCACTGCACAGGTGTGGCTACATGTATCACTCGGTAATGATAACAAAGTGAGGTTCTTGGCTGATAGTGATTCGGAAATAACTAAAGGTTTTTGTGCGTGCTTGGTTTGGTTGCTCGATGGAGCCGAACCGGGGGAGGTGTTGGCACTGAAAACAGAGGATTTGGAGGCAATTAATGTGATGGGATTGAATGGAAAAAGGGTTTCTTCTATGAAAAGTAGGGCGAATACTTGGCACAATGTGTTGGTTAGTTTGCAGAAGAGGACCAAAGCATTGGTTGCTGAGCGCGAGGGGAGGCCACGTGGTGAGCCATTCCCGTCTCTGATTGTGGATGCTGATGGGATTCAAGCCAAAGGAAGCTACGCTGAAGCTCAGGTGGACCTTTTA